AAAAGGATAATTTAATGAAATTTTTTAAAAAAAGGTAAGATATGATATATTCTTAGAAACAATAAAAAATCAAAGAAAAATTTTAAGAAATAAATTATGATTATTGTGTTAAAAATATAGAAGTAATTTTAGTTACTATTTATTTTATTATAGAAAAAAAAAATTTTTAATAAGAATACTATATCAATATAAAAATATGTCTCATTAGAATAACTCCAATTTTTTTAATAATCATTCTTTATTATTCTTCCATATATATATATATATTTACAAATTACCAATTAATGATTCCATCTGCTCTTTCTATAAATTAAAATATATACCAAAATATTTATTATTATATGAAATATAACAAAATAAATAAATGAAAATAAAAATAATTAACTAAAAATGTTATATTAAGAAAGAAATGCTTTATGTAATAACATTAAATTTTTAAAGGGGAAAATAATTTACATAAGAATATAGATTTAGAAGAAAAAAAAAAAAAAAAAAAAAAAAAATAAACATGATTCATATATTCATACTTGTTTTTTAGAATATTCTGTAAAATAATTGTTTGTAATCAAATTCTTTTTTTATTATATATATAAAAAAAAAAAAAAAAAAAGTAATAATAATAAAATAAAATTTTGAATTTTTAAGTATCTCAAAAAATATGGAATTTATATTTTTTTTTTTTTTTTTTTTATATTAAAGATTCATATACAAACCCTTCTAAAATATTTTCGAATTTTGTCTTTCTCCATTTTTCTATTATTTTCTCTAAAATTTATATCATTTAAATATTCATTTTTTTTTTTTTTTTTTTTTTTTATATATATATAAAAATTAATAAATTATTAAGTTAAGATTTAATAATAAAATATCTTAATTTTTTACATTTCATTTATTAAATCCTCATTTAAAAGTGATTCAGTGTAATATACATTAATAACAGAAAAAGGTGGCTCATTCTATATTTTAACAGTATACATAATTATTTAAGAAAAAAGGAAAAAAGATATTAAATTGGAAAAAAAAAAAAAAAAAAAGGAATAAGAAAAATAAATAGGTTAATAAAGAATATTCTTCATTTTACCATATCTCTATTTATTTGGATAAATCTACTATTCTCATTTTTAATTAAACTGTTTTCTTTTTTTAATGTATAAGTTAATTTAAAAGAAAAGAAAAAAAAAAAAATTAAAATTGCAAAACTTTTGGACATTTTATTCTACTAATCTTATACGAGAAAAAAAAAAAAAAAAAAAAAAGTATACTGTAAAACTATTCTTATGAAGGATTTAACTTCAGTTTATAATATTTACTAAAATAAGGAGAATAAAAAATTTAAACAAAAAAGATAACTTTAAGTAATTATATTAAAACAGAAAAAAAAAAAAAAAAAAAATTTTAAATATGTACATGTGTATATACTCTTTTTTTATAGGAAATATACAACGAGCTTTCTTTTTTTTTTTTTTTTTTTTCAAAATAAATTGCCTATAACTTTTATATTTGAAATAAATGATAATTTTTTAAAAAATTGCAAAAAATATATTTTTTTATATTTTTCTTAATTTTTTGTAAAATATTAATATAAATAATTCCATGAGTAACAATTCCCTTATAAAAGAATAAAGTTTTTTTTTCGATACACATTTTTTTAATAATTCTGGCTCTTTTTTGAATTTTTTTTTTTTTTTTTTTTGTTTTATTGTTCTATTATAATATATAAATAATTTATATAATGTGTAGAATATATTTTAATTAATGTGAAAGTTAATTCAAAATATAAGAGATAAAAAAAAATAAATAAAATAAATAAAATAAATGCAAGTATAAAGTTATTTTTAATCTGAGCTTTTTATGAGTTCGCATTAATTTACAACTTTATAAATAAAAAGTAAAATATTTTTTTTTTCATTAAATAAAAAAAAAAAACATACAATGATTCATTTTTATAATTGCTAAATAATCCTAATAATTTATTATTTCGTAAAAATTATTATAAAATGAAAAAAAAAAAATGGGAAAAGATAATCCAAAAAATAAGAAAAAAGATGCAAATAGACATATTATTTTTTATTAAAAATATATATACATAACTATAGTATTAATTGATCTTTAAGATTAAAATAAATAAAAATAATCATCTTTTATGATATCAATGCTTAACAAAAGAGCAAATTAAAAAAAAAAAATTAAATTCATGCTGTTAAATCTTTTGCATGTTGTAGAGTTGTTAACTTTTTAAGTTATCTGTTTAATATATTATAATATTTTATTTAAAAAGAATTATTTAACATTTAAAGAGATTATCTTTTTTTTTTTTTTTTTTTTTTTTTTTAATAAAAATGTAAAAAATTCTTAATAAATGATTTTTTATTGATAAAAAATTATAAAAAGAAATATTTTTTTTTAACAATGTTTAAATTTTAAAAAAGTATATTTTTACACTTTTAAAAAATAATTTACATGTATATATATATAAACATAATATTTTCTTTGATTTTTTTTTTTTTTTTTTTTTATACGTTCAAATATTTTAACAAAAACGTTTATACCTTATCCACTTTTTATATCTGTACTTATTTTTATTTTTTTTCTTTGAATTTTTAAATAGAAATGAATAACTTTCAATCTAAACTAAATAAAAAATATAGTTCAAAATATAAAAATAAACAAATAGAAAATAAAAATAAAAGAAAATTACTTCAATTGAGAAATGGTCACTTTAGAAGAATAGTAGATAATGAAGTTATAAGTAAAAATAGTAGCTTACCTTTATCATGTACTTGTATTTGTGCTACTCCAAGAACAGAAGAAAATAATATCATTAGTTCAAATGGAAAAAGTAAAATTTACATAAATTATAACATGTGTGTGTATTTTTTTTTTTTTTTTTTTTAATATTTAATTTTTTTAAGATGTTATATAATTTTATTCTTTTATACCAATTTTTTGATTTACCTATTTTTAGTACTTTTGTATACATTATATGTTAATATATATAAATGTCCAATTATTTTATAAAAATTTTCTTCAATATATAATTTATATTTTATTTCTTACTTATTTTTGATTTTTCATATTTTTAATATATTCATATATATTATTGTTTTTTTAATTTTTATTCATTTTTTGCAATACATATATATATATATATATATATTTTTTTTTTATTTGTAGTAAATAACAGATATAACTCATCAGAGAGATCTGAAAAGTTTGAAAATAAAGAACAAATTGATAAAAAGAGTTATTTTTCGAAAAACTATAATAAAGTTAACTATGTAGATGAATTAAATAGTGATAAATCAGAAAAATTGCAAAATGAGAAGACTATAGATCATCCTTCTATTGGAACCATATCTGATATCTCCTTTACACAAACAAGCAAAAAAAGTGATGACAATGCTTCTATAATAGGTGAAATAGAAACAGAAAAGGAAAATAAATATTCAGCTTCAAGTACAGAAAATGAAGAGGAAAAAGAAAAAATAGAAAAAAAAAAAAAAAAGGAAAAAATTGAAGAAAAAAAAAAGGAAAAAATAGAAGAAAAAGAAAAAGAAAAAATAGAAGAAAAAGAAAAAGAAAAAATAGAAGATGAAAGTTTTAATGATGATTATGAATTTAAGGATGATATAAAAGAAGATGAAACAAAAAATAAAGGGGATACATCTAATGATAACAAATTAATACCACCATCGAAAACATTAATGAAAGGAATAAAGGCAAATATATACTTTTTATCAAATAAAGAAATGGTTGAAGTTTTAATGTGTTATAATTATAATTGTAATGCTCTAATTTTTGAAAAAGACAACTTTTTAAGATATTTATATTTGAAATCAATTAACAATTTCATTTTAAACGAACGTATGATTGAGGGTCTGTGTAATAAGGAAAATATAAAATATGTTTTAGCTTGCAATTCAATTGTAATTGAATCTAGTGATTTTCTCAAGCCACTTATCGTTGAATTTGCATCATCTATGGTTAAAAAAATATTTGTTAAACATATGAAACTTACCTCTCAACAACAATGGGATATGAAAAAATACAATGAATATTTAGAAGAGCTTGATCCATCTGAAAAATTAAGATTAAGAAAAGTTGAAAGATTTCATTCATATAATATGTTGGTTACTAATAATTAAAATTTTATTATAAAAAAAAATATATATATATATATATATATATATATATACAAAAAGATTAAAAAAAAATTACCTTGCTTTTATAAATAAATTCCTTCTATAACTTCAATCTTCCATATATATTAATTTCTTTCCTATATTTAATTTTATATGTTTTATATATATATATATATATACATGTATTAAATAATATTTCATATATATTAAAAATACTGTCATGTCAATTGTGTTTAAATTCATTTTGAAAATAAAAAAAAAAAAAAAAAAAAATCATCTTGTATTCTTTTTTTCCTTTTTCCTCTTTCTTTTTTCTTTTTTTTTTTTTTTTTTGTATTTTTTTAACGTTTTTATAATTAATTTTAATAATATTGATTATAATTCATATCATACTTTCCATTTTTTTTTTAATTTTCAGTTTTTTTTTTTGTTTGATTCTTCATCTACTTTTTGATATACGTTTTTGCAATTTTTAATTATTCATTTTCTGTTATATTTAATCTTTTTAAATATATGTATTCCACTAATTTTTTTTTTTTTTTTTTTTTTTTTTGGGGATTTTTATAAATTTTATAATTCTTTTTTATGCTATACAAGACTTTAATGGTTAATATTTTTTTTTTTTTTTTTTTTTTGAGATTTTAAAATTTGAGCATTTTTTAACATAAAAAAAAAAAAAATAAATAAATAAATAAAAATAAAAAATATTTAACTAAATATATATATTTGTATACATAATTTAATAATAATATTTAATCTGTATATTTTTTTTTAAAAATAGGAATCTATCAACTATTTTCATTAATAAATGTGTTATATTAGTTAACATATTCATAAGAGAAATATATGCAAATGGCAAAATAAAAATATTTTAAAGATGATTAGTGTATATATGTATACAACTTTTAAAAATGTACATTATAATTTTAAATAGGAAAAAATTAGATATATATTTATTCAAATAATTTATATTTTTTACATGTGTATTGCTTTATTAGTGTAAAACATGTTTCTCTTTAAAGCATCATGAGATTATTGAAGATATTTCTAATTTTCATTCATCTAACACAATCATTTATCTTAAAAAAGGTGATATATAAATATTAAAATCTGTGTTAATTCAAATTAAATATATCAATAAAATTTATATGTAATTATAAAAATATAAACAATTATATTTTCATAATACTATAAAAAAAAAAAAAATAAAAAATAAAAATATAAAAGTGATATGCATTAAATAATATACATAAATGTCTATATAACAAAATATATAATAATAATATAAAAATAAAAAATAAAAATAGATATAATTTATACTTTTATGTAGTTAAAATGGGAAGAAAAAACTAATAAAAAAAAATTTCAGTTGTTTAAAACTAGATATTTCAGAAAGTGGAAATCAATACCATATATAAGAGATTCAGGAGAAAATCATTTGAAGGAATTAACAAGAGAAAGAGTTAGATTAAGTAAACATACAGTAAATCCAGTAACGTTAGGTGCAAACTTTTTATTTATATGTAATTTAGATAATAGATTATCATCTAAAGATGTAACTCACTTTTTTAATTATTTTATTGGAAATGATAACTGTGTAGCTAGAATTAAAAAAAATAGATTTACAGGTTAAGTTTCATATAAGTAGATATTTCTATTTATTTATAAAAGTATTTCGTAATAATTATTTTATTTTATTTTATTTTATTTTATTTTATTTTATTTTATTTTATTTTATTTTATTTTTTTTTTTTTTATTTTATTTTATTTTATTTTATTTTATTTTATTTTATTTTATTTTATTTTATTTTATTTTATTTTATTTTATTTTATTTTATTTTATTTTATTTTATT